GCTGAGACTCCAGTACTTTGGCCACCTCATGAGAAGAGAAGACTCCCTGGAAAAGACCCTGATGTTGGGAAAGATGGAGGGCACAAGGAGAAGGGGACGACAGAGGACGAGATGGTTGGACAGTTTTCTCGAAGCTACCAGCATGAGTTTGACCAAACTGCGGGAGGCAGTGGAAGACAGGAGTGCCTGGCGTGCTCTGGTCCATGGGGTCATGAAGAGTTGGACACGACTAAACGACTAAACGACAAAGTGTCATTTCTATTCGATGCTTAGTAATTTGCTAATCTCATGTAAAACTGACAACTAGAATGGTTGGGTTTGGCCACATTCTCACCACATATGAATATACGGTACCTAAAAATAAACAGCCTCACCAACATATTGGCAAAGTTTCTGGGTGTATCTGTGCTAATTTTCTTGCAGTTAAAGCCCATCTATAAATTAAGTTTTAGCATAAGATTTATTCTACTGGCAGAAATTGATTTAAAGGGCAATTTGGGCCATTGAATGTGGACCATTGAATCTATTTCTTGACCTAAATCTAGTTCCCATTGTTCTTTAATTGTGTTGGTCAACGAGGTCTCGGAGTAATATTTTGCCTCATGGTTAATCTAGCCCTGATTGCCCACAATGCCCTGGGCTGCTTAAAGCTCAGACCAGCTATAGATCACAAAGATCAAGACAATCAATCTTGTTCAGTTGTGGGTGAACATATCAGACGGCACAGCGATTCTTCAAACAGCTCTTGTTTATTCACAGGCCAGGACAGAACTGAACTGAAGGGTTCAGTCAGCCTGCTTATATAGAGCTCCAGTACAATGTAACTGTAACAATTTTCTAAAACTATCCAATCACTGAACGTCACTTTCGATCCCTTATTTGCATAACTATGTACAGTATCCCCCTGCTGGCCCAGGGTGAGAACTTCAGTACATAACACATCTTGCAAATATTTTATGTTAAATATTAAAAAGGAAGAAAACCTCACTGGAATTCCATAGCCTTGTAAAATGAGCCATTCCCAGCTATATTCCCACTGATTGCTTAGTCAAGGGAAGTAGCAAAACCCGCCCAGAGAAAGGAGATCAAGTGTTTAAAAAATGCTACAACTTTCAAAATCCATTTATGATGTCTTATCCCTAAAACTCTAGCCCTAGAACAATTGTATTTAAAGATTGAGTGGATTCATAAGACTAAATATTGATTTATTGATTTTGAAACTCATCCAGTGGAAGACTTAAGTATAATTTTAGGGAGATTTTATGGAAATGTCTATTCTGGAACAATTGTGCTGTACAGAGCATCTTCGAGTTTCATTAGCTGTTGGGCTGATAAAGAGAGTCGTTTCCAAAGTTGTTTTTTATGCACAGGGCAATAAATTTGACAAATGGTCTTGTCCTCATCTGCCGCTTGGTGTACTTATTATAGAAGCAATAAATATACCTTCAGTTATTTTCAACAAAATATTTGGTATCGGAGCGAACGCCACACGCCACACAAAAGTACGTAATAATAGCCCTGGCACCACGAAAAAGAAAGAAAGAAAAGGAAATCTGCAGTGGGAAAGGGGAGAATAGAAGTGCTTATGGGGGTGTGTTTACCCCATTTGTTTCTGGCTCTGAATTCTCTCCTAGGAAGCTTTTCCTGTTCTGCTGTTCTGGACACATGTTTGAAACCGTTGTGGAGGGCCATGGCCTAGTGGTGGGGTCTCAACACTCTGATCACATAAATTACACAGGTGTTATACCTCTGCACTGCAGTTGACACAGAACACTTATCAAATGCAATGTCTGTCTGGTTGGAAAATGGCATACGGTGAATGTTTGCTTGCAGGTACTGCCTTCAACGAGGGACGTGGGTGGCGCTGTGGGTTAAACCACAGAGCCTAGGACTTGCTGATCAGAAGGTTGGCGGTTCGAATCCCCGTGACAGGGTGAGCTCCCATTGCTCGGTCCCTGCTCCTGCCAACCTAGCAGATAGAAAGCATGTCAAAGTGCAAGTAGATAAATAGGTACCACTCCGGCAGGAAGGTAAACGGCATTTCCGTGCGCTGCTCTGGTTCACCATAAGCGGCTTAGTCATGCTGGCCACATGACCCGAAAGCTGTACGCTGGCTCCCTCGGCCAGTAAAGCGAGATGAGCACCGCAGCCCCAGAGTCGGCCACAACTGGACCTAATGGTCAGGGGTCCCTTTACCTTTACCGCCTTCAACATCGGTCCTAAGCCCATCTTTAAAATGTGCAGTGAGTTGCTCTGGAACCTGGTTTGTCATATATAATTTTACATGATTCATCTGTCAATTAAATTGGGAGAGGAAGGAGAATGCCTCTTTTATGATGGGGCTTTTGGAGCTGAAGGCAAGCACACCCTGGTCTTTTGCTATTGATCAGAGGACACAGAACTGCAGACACAAACAGCCTTTTTCCCCTGAGGAAAAGCTTTATGGCAAGGGAAAGAAAAGGCTGAGATAGAAATATGATCCAGTTCAGATTTTAATATGAACGTATCTATTTCACATTTTCTGAAAGAACATGCAGACCGAAATACAGCTACCCTTTCTTTTCTGAAATTTGTCGGCAGTTCTCCAACCATATAATGTGCATATTGGAAGGAAATCTGCATAAAATGTGTGAAAATAACATATAAGTAAGCATTATATCAGGGGAGATTGCTTGCAAAAAGTATATAAATCAGGTAAAATTTCATACAGAAATATGTCTATTAGGAGAAATCTGCACTAAAATGCTGACAACTTTTCAGGAGTTTTTTTTAAGTCAGTAATTGCTACTGAGATGTGGATAACTGAATTTAAGAGTGGGGAAGAATGATAATCTGGGAGAATTGAATATGACAGATCTGTCCTTTCTTAGACCACAAGAAAAGACAAGAAACACATTTGGATAAATAAAAGATGTCCGTAATAGTTATTGATCATTATATGTGCATGGGGTGGGAGGCATTTAATCTACACACTCGCCACTTCAACTTTTCAGTTAATTGTTGTTGATTAATGGAAATGCCAATCTAGCAGGCCGAAAAGTGCAAGTAGATAAATAGGTACCGCTCCGGCGGGAAGTTAAATGGCCTTTCCGTGCGCTGCTCTGGTTTCACCAGAAGCGGCTTAGTCATGCTGGCCACATGACCTGGAAAAACTGTCTGCGGACAAATGTCGGCTCCCTTGGCCAGTAAAGCAAGATGAGCTCCACAACCCCAGAGTCGTTTGTGACTGGACTTAACTGTCAGGGGTCCTTTACCTTTACCTTTTTAATGGAAATGTTTTTTTTATTATTGATTTGACCCCACACTCCCAAAAAGAGTTACAGCAAAAAATTGCTCAAGATATGCTTTGTTTTCTTGGAAATGTGGAAGCAAAACATGCAGTGGGGTCCAAGAGAGGTCTAAGATAACATCTTGTTTGTTCTTCTGCCATGGGAGCTTCCATTTTCAAATGGAACTGCCAGACCCTGAGGCAAACAACAGAGGAAGACCTCATGACCTCTGCTGTGGAAACAGAATGCTTACCGACCTAAATGCCCCTTGATCTGATCCAGCTAGCAAGACGTTCATCCTGTAGGGCCAAGGTTAACACCGAACAGCCACAGGCATGGAGATCAAGGGCATTTCTGTGTGTGGCTAATGGGAGCCCATAGGAAGCAAAGCAAAAGAAAGAACAGCTGTGTTACTCATTTCTATGAGTACTGTGGATTTTAACAAACAGGATGATCCGTGGAACTTCCAAAGTGCTCAGTATGCCATCATGTTTCTTTCATAGCCTTCACCGGTGCTATAGACTTCTCGGTTCTTCTATTCTGTCCTCAATCCCTGCATGAGGCCTCATCCTTCCGCATGGTTCGTTCAGTGTTCCCTCTTCTTTGATTGATGCTCTTTTTCATGTGCTGCCTTGTGCCAGAACCACAGGAGAATTCACAAAGTCAGAAACCACACCGGGGCCACTCTCCGTAGATTTACTCTCCCCCTCTCTTTCTTCCACTCTGTTCGACAACAGACTTGCAAGAGAATGCATCCATTTGAAATGTGTTCCCGGGAGGGGAGAAGATTTTGTAGTATGGGAGCAAAGAGGGAAGAGAAGAACGCCCATGAAGTTAGGAGGCAACGTGCGTGAGGTTTTGATGCATGGAAGAGATTGGCAGGGTAAGTGGCATGAAAGGACAGAGATGGACTTGAGCGATTGCTATGCTATTTTGACACACGTACAGTCAAGAGAAGAATTCTGGTCTGGCTTGTTGTTGTTTTTCCAGCTAAGTGTGAGCACTAGACAGGTAGCAGATATGACTAGGGCAGCTTCCATGCAGTAATAGTGGTTCAAATCGTACGTTTTTGTTCTACGAACGGCAGGAACTTGCTGTCACAGATGGAGAACAGCCCTTATGAAAGGAATCCTTCATTGAGTGCAACGCTTCCATGAAAACAAGCTCCTCCTATTCTAGTAGTAAAACTTGACAGTCCAAACCTCTGTGTGCATAGTACAGTGTTCGCCAGATTTGGCCCTCCAGCTGTTTTGGGACTACAATTCCCATCATCCCTGATCACTGGCCCTGTTAACTAGGGGTGATGGGAGTTGTAGTCCCAAAACAGCTGGAGGGCCAAGTTTGGCCACCACTGGCATAATAGGAAACTGACAAGATTGGCCCCTCCTCTCTAATACCTAATACAGAAGAAACTGTACTTAAGCAGCCAACACAAAATAGCTGAATGACTGGACTTATATTCAAGTCCTCAAGACATAGAACAGGTAGGCAGTGGTGGTGGGGGCACAGGGGTGGTTGCCCCTGACACAAAGTTGTTAGGGGCGCAAAAATTCAACACCCGGTGCTGCTTCAATAAAGCTGTGCCGTTTCACTGCCGGACTCCATTGAAAATGGCTTCTCCATGCGAACCAGGAAATGACCTCTCCAGACAATGGAATGACTCTTATCTCTGAGGTTGCGATCTCCTAGGTGATGCAGACACTGTTGGGAAGTTGAATGTGTACTCCATCAGTTTCCCTCTCTCCCACCCCTCTGTGTGGCCCCGGGTGCTGGCAATCCATGCTATGCCACTGTAGGTAGGGTAGACCTTTTCTTTTCAGTATAGCACTGGCATTATCGTGCCCTGCCGTATGAGCATAAAGACCTAAGAAGAGCCCTGCTAGATGAGACCAGAGGTTGTGCACACACTCCTTTCCTTTACCTGTAGAGAAGGTGGCAGTAACATCATCACAGCCAAGTTGAACAACCCCTGCTCTGAAGAAGAGGATTCTCTAGATCAGCTTTTCTCAACCTTGGGTCCCCAGATGTAGTTTGACTACAACTTCCCTCCCAACATTATCTTAAATTATATATGTAATATATGGGGTTTGACACTCAGTCAATATAAATATATCTGTGCCCTTACATCTGCAAGAAGATTAATATCAATATACTGGAAGGCCAAAAATATGGCCTCTTTCAATCAATGGATAGATGACATGACAACTCTTGCAACCCACGAACGGATCACTTTCAGACAAAGATTATGTTTGGACAAATTTGATGATATTTGGAACACATTTACTGAAACCATAGTGACCTATGAATCAATGTATACTGGAGGGAAGCAATAAGCTGATCCATTTGCATAAATGATATATAGTTCTGTAGCTTTAATTATATTTTACTGTCATATTGTTATTGTTTTTAAGGAAGACCCCAAAATTGTTGAGTTGTTTTTTTTTAAGGAAAACCCGAAAGTTGTTGAGCTTGCCGAAGATCCAGGACAAACCGCCGCCTTCTGGAAATTCCTCTAGGACGTCACTTCTACCTTTGAAATCCCGGTAATGTCTGGGAAATCCTGGACGTATGGCAACCCTATCTCTGTATGACAGCTGAAATCTGAGCATCATCTGAGGGGAAGAGCCACAGTTCAGTAATGGAGTACATGCTCTGTGTACAGGAGTTCCCAGGTGCAGTGGCATTTTCATTTAAAAGGTTGAGATACCAGGGGATGCAAACACCAATGTCTGCCAGAAGCCCTGGAGACATGCTAACAACCGCAGTAGGCAATACTGAGCTAAGATGGACCAATGGCCCATCTCGGTACAAGACAGTTTCTTTCCTGTGTTCCCAAAGGCTGCACAATCAATGAAGCTTTTATGAAGCAGAAGCGATTGTTCTGAATGAGCGCAGACTACGCCATTTTACCTCTGAGATATTAACTCCCTATAGTAATATTATTTATCCCAGCTGGCAAGGAGATCATGAAAAATGCTCGATCACTTTAAGCCCACTTTTGATGAGAAAATATATTTTTTCTATGTGGGGGAGTAATGAATCCATTTCCACCCTTCACCCGCTATAGATGAAATGAAATTGAAATTAAAATTCCACCTTCATGACTAATGAAGCCATCAAGTAATGTAACCTTGCACACAGGGGGAAAAAAGAACAGGGCAGGGGGAGGGGTGGCTTGCATTATGCAAATGCATCGAAGAGGATTTTAATAGATGGGAGACACTCATAATCAGACTATGTAATTAAAATGTACTGTGCATAATTAAAATTAATATAATTAAAACAGTCCACCACAGTTTCATTATGTCACTCAAACGTTGCCTCTAGACACACCAGAATTTTTACTCATTTTTATATTCCCCTGTTTTAATAAACAGTTGGGATCTCAAAGCAGGAGGAGCTGGAACAAAATGATATGCATTAAAAAGGGAGGAATTGAGCCGTTTCCCTGTAATCTGAAACTTCTGACAACTTTTAATCATGCCAGAGTCTAGTGTTTGCCAAAATAATAATAACAAACAACACTTCTATTTTGCTTCACCTACTTATTCACCATTATCAAAGCACACAGGATCAGAAATGGAGGAAGGATGACTAATGGAAGGATATGCTAATGGGAACGGATTTTGTGTAAAATTCAAAGAGGCAATATATTAGAGGTGCAGAGAAACGGGAGCTTCGCTTAGGACCACAGGTCGTTAGCAAATATGTGGGATTCACATTGACATTAATGAGAGCACTGCCAAGGCGATCAATAACAATATATGGTTCCCAAGTGCCGGTTCTTAACACTTAACTGATTTATAGGAGAAAGATGCTCTTGAAGAAAAATTGCCTTTGGCACTAATAGGACCAGGTTGCTCACATTTCCAGGGGTAGATGAGGCGCATAAGTCAGCTCGAACCACCTCATCTTGGTGTTTTGCTCAGAGGCGGAAGAAAAAGGGGGTTTGTTGAAGGGCAGAGAAATTGGTATGGTGGGGGGGCATGTGTCTCCTGTGGGAATGTTAAGGACAGTAGGAAAGGATATATTGAATAAGTATTATCCTTCCTTTCACTCAGGCTAGTAAGTGATGTAGCAGAGCAGATTGCCCTCAATATAGCTGGAAGCTAGCTTGCATATTCGTTTGAATCTCTTAGTTAAGTTTATTCCTGGTGTCCCCTTTGATTCCCCTTAAAAGAATAAATACATGAGAGTCTTTCTGAGTAAAGTAGCAAAAGGTTTACTCACATTTCAGTTCACGATATGATCCCTGAAAGGCAGGCTTTACTTAGTAAAGAGAGCCAGTGTGGTATAGTGGTTAAGAGCGGTGGACTCATAATCTGGTGAACCGGGTTCGATTCCCCGCTCCTCCACATGCAGCTGCTGGGTGACCTTGGGCTAGTCACACTTCTCTGAAGTCTCTCAGCCCCACTCACCTCAAAGAGTGTTTGTTGTGGGGGAGTAAGGGAAAAGGAGATTGTTAGCCGCTTTGAGACTCCTTAAAGGGTAGTAATAAAGCGGGATATCAAATCCAAACTCTTCTTCTTCTTCTTTAGTAGTTACACAAAGAAACAGTGAGTTCATCTCATATGGATATTGAGCTCATGAGCTGCTGGCTGAGAGCCAGCAGACAGTAAAATTACATTAAGAGAACAAAATGGCTGCAGGAGAGCAGCATGGCAGCAAAAGATCAGGAAGCAAGACAAGAGATAAGAAGACTGAGAAAATGGCTGCGTGACTCGGCTGTTTTGTAGAGTCAGCCTATCTCCCTGGTCACATGCAGGGGGAGGATGCTCCAGATCAGTGGAACAGGATGTGCCCTGCCTGTGCCCGCTCTAGGGAAATAAGGACTGTTGCATATCTGACTGCTCCAATGGACTACACCCAACATCTCCTTGCAGCTCAGAATATGTCACCCACTGTAACGAATGGCATGGTTTGCATGGACCTAAAAGGTCCGTATAGTAAAAGCTATGGTTTTCCCAGTAGTGATGTATGGAAGTAAAGAAGGCTGATCGCCGAAGAATTGATGCTTTTGAATTATGGTGCTGGAGGAGACTCTTGAGAGGACTGCAAGAAGATCAAACCTATCCATTCTGAAGGAAATCAGCCCTGAGTGCTCACTGGAAGGACAGATCCTGAAGCTGAGACTCCAATACTTTGGCCACCTCATGAGAAGAGAAGACTCCCTGGAAAAGACCCTGATGTTGGGAAAGATAGAGGGCACAAGGAGAAGGGGACGACAGAGGACGAGATGGTTGGACAGTTTTCTCGAAGCTACCAACATGAGTTTGACCAAACTGCGGGAGGCAGTGGAAGACAGGAGTGCCTGGCATGCTCTGGTCCATGGGGTCACAAAGAGTCGGACACGACTAAACGACTAAACATCAACAACTACAACAAAAGATGGCTGAAGAACACCACAAAAATGACGATGTCTTTGAACAGATTGTGAACTGTGCTGAATAAGCGCTGATGAAATGTGGTAAACATCAGGATGTTCTGGCAGAAATGGTGTGTGCTAGGTCAAGGACAGAACAGCATACACAGAGAGGCAAGAGATGACGTATGCAACATTAGATGCGAGATAAGCGCTGTGAGGATGATGCCACAACAAGGAGTAATAGGTTGTGGAATGCCAAAGCCCTCCTTCCTGAGTAGTGTGCCAGATGCAGCCGGGATCCCGCTATCTGGTCACCCATAAGCTTTTACTGAATCTGGCCCATTCAGTAGAGAGTGGTGGTGAGTATGGATGTGTTTGTGCACACATGATTGAGTGCATGTTCCCTATCTTGTTGTATGTTATGTTTGTTAACCAATAAAGCAGTATTATATAGAAATTCCAATATATAGTGGTACCTCGGGTTAAGAACTTTATTCATTCTGGAGGTCTGTTCTTAACCTGAAACTGTTCTTAACCTGAAGCACCACTTTAGCTAATGGGGCCTCCTGCTGCCGCCGCACGATTTCTGTTCCCATCCTCAAGCAAAGTTCTTAACCCAAGGTACTATTTTTGGGTTAGGGGAGTCTGTAACCGAAAGCGTCTGTAACCTGAAGCGTCTGTAACCCGAGGTACCACTGTATATTGGTTGTCTGAGGTCTACTTACGCTTTCCTGGAGTGCACTGGGTCTCATATATGTTAAACACCTAAACAAATTAAAAGAACCTAATTGTTCATAACACCACTGTTAGAACCAAGCTGAATTGGTGAATTGCTGAGCCTGAATCTAGACCTGGAGAGCATATTCTCAGTTGCCAGAGCTGGGGGCTGAACTTTAGCGGGCAATTTTGACTGCTGTGTCTGAGGGTCAAATATTTATACCAGGCCTAAGTGAACTAGAGGCTTCAGGCTGCCGTTCAGTTGCCAGAACTGAGAGGGCTTGAGCCCACACAGACCCAGGTGGCTCATTAGGTTAGCTTAAAACTATTGCAAAGTTTTTTCTCGAAACTTTTTTACCAGTTTCTGACAGCAGGGGCAGCAACCTTTTCAGACCCTCCAAGTGTCCCAGGACAGTCCCGGATTTACAGAGGCCATCCCGGTTTCCGAGTTGATGTCCCAATCACTGCCACAGTGTCCTTTCTCCTGGCAGATCAAGATGAGCAGGTGACAGCAAAGGTTGCAAGGTTTTTAGCTGGGGCAATCAGAATAAGATCCACTATTTGACTGTTGATTCAAAACCCTAAAATGTATTTTATATAGCTGACTTTTTATTTCTATTCTTTGTATATCGTATTGTTTTTTTATTGCTACGGCCGATGGCTGACGCAAATGAAGATTCATTCATTCATTCTGAGTTGATGTCCCACTTTTCCTTAGGATGTCCCTATTTTCATCGGAGAAATGTTGGAGGGTATGGAATTATGTGACCACCAAGTCAAGGAGATAAGGAACCTTTGTTGGCTGCCCACTCTCCACCTTAGAGCAGATTTATGCCACAAGGTGCCATAGGAAGGCACTGGACATAGTAAAAGATCCATCGCATCCTGGTCACTGTCTCTTTGAGCTCTTGCCGTCGGGATGGAGATACAGAACGATGAAGACAAGAACGAGCCGTCTTAAGAACAGCTTCTTCTCCAGAGCAATTTCGGCCCTGAATGGGAAGCCCGGACTTCGAAAGTCATCTAATCTCCCTTGCTGTATTATACTGTATTGATTAATTAGTGTTTTTATGGAGCAGTCAAGTAATTTCGTTGTCCCCGAAGGGGGCAATGACAATAAAGATATTCTTCTTCTTCTTCTTCTTCTTCTTCTTCTGAAGGCAGCCCTATATAGGGATGTTTTTAAATACTTAATGTATTATTATTATTATTATTATTATTATTATTATTATTAATATATGTTGGAAGCCACCCAGAGTGGCTGGGGCAACCCAGTCAAACTGGCAGGGTACAAATAATAACATTATTTTTATTATTCTATAGGACACCCCTATTTTCACAGGAGAAATGTTGGAGGGTATGCCTTTCCTCCTAAAACAATGCACCTGGAAGAGAACAACACTATGCTATTATGTCATGCCATTTTAGCTGAGACATTGTAAGGAGGGAACACGACAGCAGGCGCGATTGTAATAGAAGGTGTGCAAAATTGCCCTCCTAACAATGGGGCTACTACTTACCTGAAAGGTGTGTCTCAAGGTGAGGCGTTTGACAGCAGTAGATTCTTCATTGGTGCTTGTGAGGTGGTGGGAAGCGTTTCGAGGGGTCCCAAAGGCATCAGGCAGCTTTTTAATTGTATTATAATGTTGCTTGGAGTTCACAGTCGGAGAAAGGGGCAGTGCAGACTTCTGCCACCTGTGGCAAAATTTGTAAATTTGGCATGGCATTGGTTGTGAAAGGTTGCCTGGCACACAGATCAGGGGTTCAGCTCCATCATTTGTTTTCAACATCAGTTCTCAACTATCAAACATATAGCGTAAAGTTTTCTTTTTTCTTTTTGTTAAATCAATTTTATTAATTTTCCAATAAAAAACATCCAATTAACATTTCAAATCATAATCCAATTAAAATAAAAAACTAAAATAAAAAAAGACCAAATTATCATCCAAATTATAATTATTAATTTTTCGGGACTTCCCATAGTCTGGACCGTGAAGCATATCTCCAATTCACAGTCCTGCCTCTCCTTGTTCTTTCCATATTTTCCACATCTCGATTTTAACGCTTTAAAGTTCTCCGTCTCTGGCTCTCTGATTCTCGATCATGTCAGACATCATACATCCTTTTATCCATCCATCGAATACAGCTTTATTTGTATATATATATCTTTGTAAAGTACCTCTTTTCAAAGTCATTGATGCTACATCCTTTAGCCAAAAAAAGGCCCTAAGAGTGGCTTACAAGAGTCAATAGTAAGACTGCCTCTGCCTTCAAGCTTACCATCTAAAAAGACATAGCACATGAGGAAAAGGGAATGGGAGGGAGGAGGGGAAAGCAAACTCAAACACAGGTTCTTGCAGTTACTCAGCTATGTAATTTCCATGTAATTTCCATGTAATTTCGTTGAGGGATGCGGGTGGCGCTGTGGTGTAAACCACTGAGCCTTGGGCTTGCCGATCGGAAGTCGGCGGTTCGAATCCCCGCGACAGGGTGAGCTCCCGTTGTTCGGTACCCAGCTCCTGCCAACCTAGCAGTTCGAAAGCATGTCCAAGTGCAAGTAGATAAATAGGTACTACTCCAGTGGGAAGGTAAACGGCGTTTCCGTGCGCTGCTCTGGTTTTGCTGGCCACATGACCTGAAAAAACTGTCTGTGGACAAATGTCAGCTCCCTCGGCCTGTAAAGCAGATGAGTGGCGCAACCCCAGAGTCGTTCGTGTTAAGTTGTGGGTGAACATATCAGATGACACAGCGATTCTTCAAACAGCTCTTGTTTATTCACAGGCCAGAACAGAACTGAGCTGAAGGGCTCAGTCAGCCTGCTTATATAGAGCTCCAGTACAATGTTACTGTAGCAACTTTCTAAAACTATCCAATCACTGAACGTCACTTTCGATCCTTCATTTGCATAACTATCTACAGTATCCCCCTGCTGGCCCAGGGTGAGAACTTCAGTACATAACAGTTCGTGACTGGACTTAACTGTCAGGGGTCCTTTTAACCTTTACCTTTAATTTCATTGAGACCCTACAGTTCAGGGATTAGGGGGAAAGGTTTCATATCAAAGGGCAGTTTTCTAAATGGAGTTGATCCCTAGCATCTTTTTCCCAAATTAAGTGCTGCAAATAATCTTTTTTCCCTTAAAAAACAAAACTATTTAAGCATCCTGCCACCTCAACTTCTCCTTTGCTTTATATCTTCAAAGTGCTGTGCAGCTTCTCATTAATTAGGCAGACTTTAATCCCCATCTTTGAGGTTGGTAGATGATATCTTGTGTCTACAGGATGCACCAGAAGAGATTAGCAAATGGGCAAAGGTTGTCTCTAATGACAGAAAAAACGTAATTCTTACATGGCACAAGCAACCTCTTGCTGGTAAAAGATTAACAAATGATGATGTGAAATTAAACGATTTCCTAAAATGCTTGTCTTTTAAAGAGTAAGAGTCCCTTGTATACAAAACCTTTGGGAATTACTTGCTAAAGTAATGATGCAAATCAGAATAAAGGAGTTGAAGCATGCCTTTCCTTTAAAATAAGCTAAGCTTAAGAGAGAGGACAAGAATCACCCTGGGAGCAATTATGTTATTTATAGGACGATTGATCCTGAAATAAATGCCCATTCAAAATCTAGCAAGTTATTTTGAAAATATGCTTATCAAGAAGAGAACTTTTTATTTAAAATGGTTGCCAATCATTATATTTTGTGTAGCAGCAAAAATGGGAGATAGGCCCAGCAGAATTCGGCTTGAATGCCTCACCTTAGATGAGGCTGAGAGGTGGATGCTTTTGTTATTTTGATTATAAATTCTATTTGAAATTCCTTTCTAAATCTGGATAGTTCCCACTGCATGTTTGGAGTAACTTTTCAAAGAATATAAAGACTCCTTAATTACAAACACGGGGGGCAGGAGAGATAACTTATAAATGCAAGAAATCCATGGGGGCTAATTAGAATTCTTTTTGTGAGTTTTTGATAGAGAAGGGAAAACAATATCTGAAAAAACAGCATTAAAAGAACATATTGTCTGATTCATGTCACTCCTTACTTCTCTTTCTCTTGTTTCTGGGACTAAAAAGGAAGCCTTCTGTTATACGGACGACAAATAACATCTTTAATGCAAAGGTTCCCATTCAACCTCAGAATAATTCCATTTCAGTTTTTTTTAAAAAAAATACTTCGGCATTCTAGCTATTAAAAATGCTGAACTGAACCGCTTGCAAGCACAGGTGGTCAGTGGCATAGCGTGGGTTGTCAGCACCCGGGGCAAGGCAAGTAATTTGCGCCCCCTAACCTGTGGATTTTAGCAGGGGGCAGAGAGCTGCGAGTGCGAGCGCCCCCCCCAGATGTTGCACCCGGTGCGGCCGGCCCACCCTGCACCCCCCACGCTACGCCACTGCAGGTGGTTTATGGACCTTCGTGTATTTCAGCAGAACACCACAGCCAACAAAAGCTGAAAAATGATGATGGCATCTGAATCGCGGTAGCCTACGTGCCATAATACTCACTGTATATCATACTAGTCCAAGAGATGAGAATTGTGTGTGATCCATATAGAACAGAAGGCTAAAGATGAAGCGCAGAGGAACCCCAAACAATTGTCGTTATGCCTAATGTATATTTATTCAGTTTACAGATGGGGCCATAAATCACATTCTGTGTATGGGAATTCACAACCAGAAACAACCAGAGAGTGAAAAAGTGCACGGCACCCAAATATTGTGTTTTTCAAAGGATGCAACATGGCCACTCAGCTTGGGCTTGGTTGGCATACAAGAATGAATAGAAAGAAGCGACAAGAGGATATTATTAGGGTTAAAGTCCTCGACTGTACAGGCCACGGCTCACAAACAGCCAAAACCCATTAAACCTGTAGGTGGGAGGTTCAGCAGACACATCAACTGGACCAGAGTCAATACACAACCCAAAGGCAGGCAGACAAATGTAGTGATAATATTTATTTCCACAGTGACCCAAAGCAACACTATATCAAGTCCTCTGGGGCAATGTGGGAAATTAGAATGGAGTGCTCTTGCCAAGGTAGAACTTCGTCTTAGTATTGGACATCAGCATTGCATTCTCCTATACCCTTTTGGAGAGGCAAGTATAATTCAGCTATCCAATGTCTCAGTGAGCAATAATGCTTCAATTTTCTGCTGAATGTTAATACTAAGGCTGATGCATATACTGTAGAGACCTTCAAGCCAGGCCATCCTAATCTCATACCATGAGCTGTTACCTTTGTCTCGCAAAAACACATTCCAGAGTGTCTGCATAAGTAAGGGAGACGTGCCTTGCTCCATGTCCTAAACTCCCTTAAAGGTAAAAGGACCCCTGACCATTAGGACCAGTCGTGGCCGACTCTGGGGTTGCAGCCCTCATCTCGCTTTATTAGCCGAGGGACCTGGCATACAGCTTCCGGGTCATGTGGCCAGCATGACTAAGCCGCTTCTGGCGAACCAGAGCAACGCACGGAAACGCCGTTTACCTTCCCGCCAGAGTGGTACCTATTTATCTACTTGCACTTTGACTTGCTTTCGAACTGCTAGGTTGGCAGGAGCAGGGACCGAGCAATGGGAGCTCACCCCGTTGTGGGGATTCGAACTGCCGACCTTCTGATCGGCAAGTCCTAGGCTCTGTGGTTTAACCCACAGCACCACCCGCATCCCTAGGTAAACCCATATAAGGAAAGGAATGCAAAGGTGCTGCTTAGAGAGAGTTCTTTGTGTTCTTCTTTAATGTATATGCAATTAAGGAAAGACTATAAATGGTATGCTAACAGGGCGATGTAGCCTAGGATAGGAAGGATTTTGCCGAAGTTTATGCATATGTAGTGCCTTAAGAGATAACAGAAATGTATATACAGTGGTACCTCGGGTTAAGTACTTAATTCGTTCCAGAGGTCCGTTCTTAACCTGAAACTGTTCTTAACCTGAAACACCACTTTAGCTAATGGGGCCTCCTGCTGCTGCTGCGCCACCGGAGCACGATTTCTGTTCTCATCCTGAAGCAAAGTTCTTAACCCGAGGTACTATTTCTGGGTTAGCGGAGTC